ACATGATGAGATTTTTTTTGGGGGGGTGATTATTTGTCTCAGTGTATTTTATGTGTGGCCCAAGACAACTCTTCTTCCACTGTGGCTCAGAGATGCCAAAAGGTTGGACACCCCTGATAGCAAGGGAGAGGCAGAGTTGGATCTGGACCCACTGCCTCAAGGTCTGACAATGTCCAAACTTGTGTTGGAAGTTCCCCAAAGAAAACTTTCCCAGTAAACTCCCCAGGGGGGCTGGAAAGTTAACCCCTTCTTTTTTTCTGAAGGGAAGCACCACTGGTACAGGCAGGGGACAGGACTGTGAGCCTACCTCTCTGTGCAGGAGTGTTCCAGTGGTAGGGGCAGAGCAGAGGAGTTCACTGAAGAACTGACCGGGCAGCTGTGCCCAGACTAGCTGAGCTTTGCTTCTTTTAGGCCTTGCCTCATGATTCCCAGACAGGTGTAGGGCCTAAGCTGGGATTTGAACCTCAGTGTCAAGCATTTGTTAAATGAATGAAGGAGTTCAGCAATACAGCCATCAGCCAGGGAAGAGATGGCCGCACTCTCCACAAACTACCTTATTCATTCACCACTCTGGCTTTGTTCATCTCTGCTACCACCAGATCCAGCCACTGCCATTCCTTACCCTGGATTAGTATAGGGCTGCTTGCTAATTGGTCTCTTGTTCATGTTGCAACCAGAGATCTATTTAAAGGGGACAAAATTATTATAGAATTCCGTTTAAATTCCTTCAATTATTTGCCCTGGCTGGTGTGGCTCAGTGAATTGAGCCTGCTAACCAAAGGGTCATGGGTTCTGTTTCCAGTCGGGGCACATGCCTGGGTTGCAACCAGGTTCCCAGTAGGGGGCACATGAGAGGCAACCACATATTGGTGTTTCCCTCTCTTTCTTTCTCCCTCCTTTCTCCTCTCTCTAAAAGTAAATAAATAAAATCTTTTTTTTAAGCCTTCAATTATTTTATAGAAAGGCCCAGGTCCTTTATTTGGCCTCTTGGTTCTGCAGTATGTGCCCCACCTATCTATCCTTCCCACCCCTTCTTGTGCCTACCTCCATGGGTTCCAGCCCTCCTCATGGCTTTTCAGTTCCTCAAGCTTCCCTTGTTCCCTCCCGCCTCAGGGCCTTCACACCTAATATTCCCTTTTCCTGGTGTACTCTTAACCCATGTTCTCATCATCACCTAGTTAACTCCTAGTATCCTTCAAATGCAATCTCAGATTCCCCTTAGGAGTGGCCTCTCTTCACTCTGTAGGCTAGATCAGCTCCCTAACCAACACATAACTTGTTATTACCCTGCACTTTTTCTCTGTAATACCTATTTCAGGTTGTAAGTACACACGTGTATAGCTGGTCATTTACTATGTCTCTCTCCTACTAGATTGTAAGCTCCATAGGAGCAAGAGTAGGGTCTGTTGTGCTCACTATTGTATTTCTGGCACTAATATTACCAATACATTATACACATTTAGTAAATATTATCTCCACTTCTCTTACCTTCCTCTCTCCTGTCTAAATCCCAACTACCCTTTAGGGTCCAGCTCAACTTTCTCCAGGAAATGTCTTCAAGTGGAAGAATGGGAAGGGATCCACGTTTGTGTCCAGTCCCCTTAGAAACTACCTACCTATAACCCCTCACAGCCACCCCTCCAAGGGCAGTGTAAGGAAAGACTTTTTTATGTCTCCTTTATTACTCACAAAGAACACTTCTGTCACCAGACACAGGTTTGGTTTGTTTTTTGCCAAACTAACCAGTTCTCTGACACCAACTGGGTGTCATTCAGTTGAGTTCTGACACTACCTGGAGTTAGCATCAGTTCCCCCAAGTTAATGTCTCACTCCCACAAGATTGCTTCCACTTCAGATGGCAATCACAAGTGTCACACTGTCACCTGCACTATAAATCACAGTTCCTACAATCCCCTCATTAGGTTCAATAATTTGCTAGAATAGCTTTCAGAATGCAGGGAAACACATCAACTGGTTTCGAAATATTTTTTTTTAATTTTATTTATTTTTAGAGAGAGGGGAAGGGAAGGAGAAAGAGATGGAAACATCAATGTGTGGTTGCCTCTCATGCGTCTCCTACTGGGGACCTGGCCCACAACCTAGACATGTACCCTGACTGGGAATGGAACTGATGACTGGTTCACAGGTGGGCACTCAATCCACTGAGCCACACTAGCCAGGGTCGTTTACTGGTTTCTTATATAATAAAGGATATGATAAAGGATACAGATGAACAGCTAATTAAAGAGATACATAGGGCGAGGCCTGCATCCTGACTGCAGGAGCTTCTGTGCTGTGGAATTGGGGTGTATCACCCTTTTGGCCCATGGATGTATTCACCAACCTGGTAGCTCTCCAAAGAGAAACTTCATTACGTACATATGATCATGATTGATGGTTAACTCAATCTCTCCCTTCATTCCTCCCTGGAAGGTGGAAGGTGGAGCTGAAAGTTACAAGCTTCCAATCAAGGCCTGGTCCTTCTGGTGACCAGTCACAGCTTGAGGCTCTCCAGGAGCCCACCAAGAGTTGCCTCATTAGGACAGAAAGTACTCTGATTACCTAGGAAATTCCAGGGGATTTAGGAGCTCTGCATTAGAAACCATCATCAAAGACAAGTATTAGAATAAAAGATGCCCCTAGCACCTTTATTACTTAGGAAATTACAAAGATTTTAGGAGTTCTGGCCAGGAGCTGGTTATTATATCACAATATCACAGGCAGCATACAGAGATCTTTGCTGTCTACAGTCTGAGAAAACAGTCTACGCAACATAAGGCTGCCCTGCCTCCTTGTCTGCCAAACCTGGTATAAGGGTCGACTGCTGAAGAAAGAATGGAACTTATTACCAGTGTAGAGCTGACCCACCCATCTGTCTCTGAAGACTCCTAAGATTTGTCCACTTCCCTGTGATAGAGACATTTATTTACAGAGGAGGTATAGCAGATTGGAACTCTATGCTCTTGCACTAGTCACTTCCTCTCTCCGACACCCATTTTTCTCATCTCTAAAAAGAGGCTTGTGACAGTACCTATCCCATAGGGTTGTCTTGAAAATTAAGTGAGAGAAGTCTTGAAAGGGGCTTAACATGGGATTTAGTAGCAAAACAAACAATAAAAGTTAGTTGCTGTTTCAGCTTGAGCCCTCAGCTGGGTAATGGCAGAAACATGATGCTGAACTAGACACATAGTCCAGTGAGGAAAGCAAATCATCACTGGATAATAAAGTATGATCAGTTCTACTAGAGATCGACAAGTAAGAGGTAAGGGTGAAAAATTCTAGTTCCCTGAACATCCTAGTTTCCCTTACAGACGTATTTTTCTGTTGGTGGGGAAGGTGGCATGATGGCTCTGTGCCATCAGCCTATGTTCTTCCCTCCCTGTGCAGAGATACTACAAGGGAGTAACGCTAACTGGCTTCAGTGGTGGTCATAGTGGGAGGTGCTCTAAGAACCCCCTATGCCTAAACTAACCCTTCGTTTTTCTTCCAAAAGGTTCATATGGCCGGGGGAGTGGAGATGAGGGGACAGATAGTATTTAAAGGTAGGAGGTATGTGAGACAGGCTGTTTGTATGATTTTCATTTGTATGTTTTCCACTTTATTATTCCTTAGGATATGGTAAAACTTCCTTCGAAATGCAGGCTAATTTTTCTGAGCCAGGGGACCCCAGGGGAGGTTGACGTTCACAGCTGGACATAACAGAGAAAACAGTACCCCTTCTTTTCCTTTGCATGTGTGGTAGAAGCTGTGGGAATCGGTGTTCGGAAAGGAGATGGGGAGGCAGAGTCAGGACTCTATAGTCTCTCACTCCAGGTTCCCTGGAGCTTTGGTGTCTGTGTTCTTGGGCCCCTCCAGCTGGCTGTCCTCCTCCTGGGCTATTGTCCAAATGTCATAGCCTTTCTCCAGAGGATCTAGCAAAATTACCCTATATCCAAAGCCCAGCCCAGCCTTTGCCCTGAAGGGCTCCTGGTGATCTCCTTGACTTTTGTGCATTGTGACTTGTGAGCAGCTCAGCCTGGATAAGTGGCTGCGGTTCTGAGTCCTGCAGTACTTAGGTAAGGGAAGATCAGAGGAGCACCCAGCGCCGACTGCCTTCCTGCTGTCATCTGATCTAAAATAAGCCTGTCGGGCCAGCTGTATTACCCCATTTTACAAATGAAGAAAGTGAAGCTCAGAGAAGTTAAGGGCCTTGCAGGTGACATTTACTATCATGATCAAGCATCAGTGAGTCCCTGCTTAGATCACAGCAATTCTTTGTTTAAACCTGCTAATGACTGCAAAACTCTCTTGACCACCCCTGTCCTGCTCATTCAGCTCTGGCCACACTGGCTTTTTTGCTATTTACTCCAGAATGTGACAGGCTCATTCCCACATTTCCAACTTAGGGCCTTCGCTCTAGCTGTTCCTTTTGCCCAGAACACTCCCCTTTACCTCCAAGTCTGTGCTTAAATGTCAGCTTCTCAAATGAGGCTTACCTAGACACCATTTTAAATTCTGTAAACTGCATGCCACCCACCCCCTTTTTGTAGCACTACTTCTCCAACATACTGTAGGCCTTAGCCCTGGTTGGTGTGGCTCAGTGAATTTAATGCTGGCCTGAGAACCAAAGGCAGTCCAGTTGGATTTCTCATCAGGGCACAAGCCTGGGTCACAGGCCAGAATTTCAGTAGGAGGCGTGTGAGAGGCAACCACACACTGACATTTCTCTCTCTCTCTCTCTTCCCTTCTCTTTAAAAATAAATAAAATATTTTTTAAAAGATTCTCAATAAATGTGTCCGGTGAGGAAATGAATGAATGCTGAGATCTAAGATTGCGGGCTGGAATCCTCTGAGCTGGTAGGGGCTTTTTCTGATTGCTAGAGGATGGGAGAGAGATTCTAGACTGTGGGAAAAGCCCACATGGGGGCTCCCTTGGCCTCCCAGGCCTCGGAGGCGGCGCCTAAGGAACTACGTATCCCATAGAGCTCTGGGCGCAGAGGGACCGCGGGTGCTGCCGGGAAGGGTAACGTGCGGGAAGCCAGGTCCGGTACTGCAAGGATGGCCGCTCAGCGAGGTGGGGTGTACGTCAGAGTCCAGTCGATGCAGGGGGTGGGTCACGTCCTAGGGAAACTTTCCGACTTGACATGCTAGGTAGAACCTACCCTTGGGACTTTGTGGAGATGGATGGGCCTCAGACAGAAGCAGAAGAGGGGCACCAGCGATGGGGCTGAGTCATAATTGCAAACCTCAAGAAAGGTCTTGAGGGAGGAGCCGGCTGCCGAGAGTCGCTTCCAGACAGCGCGCGGTGAAAAAGTTTCTGCTCTCTGCCCGTCACCTCAGCGCAACTATCTGCCTTGCGTCTGCAGAAAATCCTCACTGCCTGTTTTATAGATGAGGCTATTGATCCCTGCAGAGGACAAGGGTCTCAGCTAACAACATACGAACCCCTTATTTGACTTACTCCCTCAGACAAAACCCTCAGTGTCAGGTTCCTGCGGGACAGTAGAGTCAGGCCTCGGGTGGAACAGAAGCTGACCCTCTTGTCTGTGCCCACAGTATTCCCACTTTCCTGTGTGGTACAGCAGTATGCCTGGGGGAAGATGGGTTCCGACAGTGAAGTGGCTCGGCTGCTGGCCAGCAGTGACCCACTGGCCCGAATCTCAGAAGACCAGCCATATGCAGAGGTGAGAGCTGGACTGTATTTCAGCCCACTTTGTGCAGCAGGTGAGACCAAGAGACTGCTCCAGTCAAAGGGCCTGAGGCAAGTCACGTGGATCACCTGGACGGGGGAGGAAACAGGAGCAGGTCCTTTAGGTTCCTCAATTAGTGCAGGGTGAAGAACCCAGATGTTGGCACCAAAAGAAGAAATGTTTTCTCACCATAGACTGCGATTTCCAGTACCTCCTTTTTCAAAGAATTTATAGCACTGATGTTGTCTTCTTTGACAATCAAAATTTTTACTTTGACTTTTACATTTTTTAAAATTAGATTTTATTTACTTCTTTTTAGAGGAGGGTAAGGGAGGGAGAAGGAGAGGGAGGGAAACTTCTATCAGATGTCTCTCTTACGCATCCCGAATGGGATGGAACCCACAACCCAGGCATGTAGCCTGACAGGGAATTGAACTGGCAACAGTGCCCAACCAGGCCACACAGGTCAGGGCTGCTGCCCATGTAGTAGAGAAAAAGCCAAAGCACAAGGAGACTTTAGCTTCTGAATCTGAGACTGACATAAATGAATTCTACCACCTCACAGAGCCATTTGAGTTAGGTATTCAGTGACCTTGACAGTGCAGGTGTCATTCTCCTTGACCTAGAGATGAGAAAACTGAGACCTAGAGAGAGGAAATAAGTAATCCTAGACACCACAGCTGGTTAGAGGTAGAGCCTGTGTCTCCTGACTCCTGATGTTTTGGGGTCTGCTGCCCCACTTTATGTTCATGATGGCATGAGCATTTATTTATACCTAGTCCTGGGAGGCCCATCTCAGGACTCAGCTGCCCTGTCGGAAACACAGAGTAACTGGGATTAAGGCAGGCAAACTGGTGATGCTAGGTTCTCCCTGCTTTACTCTCAAATTTTCTATTTTTCCAGCTGTGGATGGGGACCCACCCCCGAGGAGATGCCAAAATTCTTGACAATCGCATCTCGCAGAAGACCTTAGGCCAGTGGATTGCTGAGAACCAGGACTGCTTGGGTTCAAAGGTCAAGGACACCTTTAATGGCAAGTTGCCCTTCCTCTTCAAAGTGCTCTCAGTTCGAACAGCCCTCTCCATCCAGGCACACCCTAACAAGGTACAGGATCAGACTGGGGTACAATCAGGGTAGAGAAGAGCTTAAGTTAGGGCCCTCTTAAGACTTTTACTGCAGTTTTTACCCCACCCATGCTGGCTTTAGCTCAAAGCTAAATCTAGGCCTGGCAACTCCTGGTTTAGCTGGGGAAGGCCAGATGCTGGTGACATTTGCTGCCAGCTAATTCTAAGTGAAGAGCAGACCAGCTTGTGCCAGGGGAATTTCTCCAAGCTTTTTCTGGGTTCCCTTCATCCAGCCCAGGATGATTCCTTAGCTGACGTTTACCCACTTGGCTCTCTGGGAGAGCTCACCTTCCAGGGTAGGGTAGGTACCCTAGCTGTTACCTCAGCTCCATCTCCAGGGAGTCTTTCTGAAACAAGCCTATGAGTCAGATCACAAGCATCTGTCTGCCCAAACTCTTCATTTTTTTAAAATTGATTATGTCATTACATTTGTTCTATTTCCCCCCGCCTCCGTTCCCCTCCACCCTGCACACCCTTCCCCCACCATTCCCCCCCTTTAGTTCATGAACACGTGTCTCAAGTTCTTTAGATTCTGTATTTCCCCTACTATTCTTACCCTCCCCCCTATCTATTTTCTATATTTTCTATCTACTGTCTATGCTACTTATTTTCTGTACCTTCTCCCCCCTTCTCCCACTCCCCTGTTGCCAATTCTCCACGTGATCTTCATTTCTATGGTTCACTCCTGATCTAGCTGTCCTCTTAATTTGCTTTTGTTTTAGGTGTGGTTGTTGATAACTGTGAGTTTGCTTGTCCTTTCACTGTTCATCTTTTTTATCTTCTTTTTCTTAGGTAAGTCCCTTTAACATTTCATATAATAAGGGCTTGGTGGTGATGAACTCCTTGAATTTGGTCTTATCTGAGAAGCACTTTATCTGCCCTTCCATTCTAAATGAAAGTTTTGCTTGATAGAGCAATCTTGGTTGTAGGTCTTTGGTTTTCATGACTTGGAATACCTCTTTCCAGCCCCTTCTTGCCTGTAAGGTCTCTTTTGAGAAATCAGCTGACAGTCTGATGGGAACTCCTTTGTAGGTGACTGTCCCCTTATCTCTTGCTGCTTCTAGGATTCTCTCCTTCATTTTAATCTTGGCTAATATAATGATGATGTGCCTTGGTGTGTTCCTTCTTGGGTCCAACTTCTTTGGGACTCTCTGAGCTTCCTGGATTTCCTGGAAGTCTATGTCCTTTGCCAGATTGGGGAAGTTCTCCTTTATTATTTGTTGAAATAAGTTTTCCACTTGTTGCTGTTCCTCTTCCCCTTCTGATACCCCTATAATTTGAATGTTGGAACGTTTAATGATGTCCTGGAGGTTCCTAAACCTGTCCTCATTTTTTTGAATTCTTGTTTCTTCATTCTTTTCTGTTTGGTCATTTTTTCCTTCCTTCTGGTCTACTCCCTTGATTTGAGTCCCAGTCTCCTTTCCATTACTATTGGTTTCCTGTGAATGGTAATGAATGCATTACCATTAATTTCAATTAGTTTAGTCTTCATATGTTCCTCTAATTTGTGACTAAAATGAACCAGTTCTGGATCCTGATCACCAGTGTTTTGAACTGTGCATCTGAAAGTTTGGCTATTTCTTCATCACTTAGATTTATTGGCTCTGGGGCTCTGAGTTGTTCTTGAGCCATGTTTTAATCTGTTCGTGCCTGTTACGTCTGAGGAGCGGAGTTTTAATTATTCACCAGGGCGGGGACACCCAGGTCACTGGACTGTGACACTGTATGTGGGGGCGGGGTCAGAGAGGGAGCAATGGCGGTCCTCTCCGCTCGCCCAGTCCATCCCATCACTCGCCCCTGCCCGTTTATCTGAGTGGAAATGTGCAAGCCCACTGCTCTGCACAGTGCAGTCTCAATGCTCGCCTCTTCACTGGTTTATCTGCACGCAAATGCTTGACTGACCACAGACAGCCAGCTGCGCCTCTTCCCTGTGTCCACCCGTAGCTAGCCCGCACCTGGGATCTGTGCCTTTGGCTGCTTGCGCACACCCCAGTCGGGGATCTTTTTGGCCAACCCGCTCCGCTGTTGGCTTCGCCCCCCTTATTGGTTTAGCTGAGCATTTTGTTGTTTTTGGACTCTGTATTGTTGATTTTCTGTGTGATTTGGTTGCGTTTATTGTTGTTAAAACTTTGATGTTTTTAGATTTGGTTGTGTGCAGACGCAAGGTGTTTCCACCTATGCCTCCATCTTGGCAGAAGTCTAAGAGTACCAGACTCTTCATTTCTTGATGAGCAAAGTAAGACCTAGAGAACTGAGAGATTTACCCAAACACAGCTTGTTAGTGTCAGAGCATGGCTTGGTGTTTGGGTTTCCTGATTTACAGTCCAGGCCTTTTTTTTTTTTTTTTTTTTTTTTTTTGAGATTTTATTTATCTTTAGAGGGGAAGGGAATGAGGGAAAGAAGTATCAATGTATGGTTGCCTCTCATGCATCCCCTGCTGGGAACTGGCCTGCAACCCAGGCATGTGCCCTGACTGGGAATTGAACTGCGATCCTCTGGTTCGAAGGCCCGTGCTGAGGCCACTGAGCTACACCAGCCAGGGCAGTCCAGGCCTCTTAAAGTCTGCCCCAGCTCTCACCAGATTTGGGCATGTCCTTGCTCTGGGTTGGCTAAACCCGGAGTTCCTGCATTATGCCTTGACTGGACTTGTTGCCAGAATTAGGAAGCTATCACCATCTGGTGACTGGGGAGGGTGGAGAGCAAGGCCTGGGTGGGACTGGTGTCTTGCTAGGTTGTGGCTGCACTTTGATCATCCTCCTCTTCCCCTGGCCATCCACAGGAACTGGCAGAGAAGCTGCACCTCCAGGCTCCACAGCACTACCCTGATGCCAACCATAAGCCAGAAATGGCCATTGCCCTCACTTCCTTTCAGGGCTTATGTGGTTTCCGGCCAGTTGAGGAAATTGTGACCTTTCTGACAAGTAAGGTTGGGCAAAATGCTGAGAGCATACATATTGGGCCTAGGATGCATGGGCAGCCCAGGGCAGAGCTGGAGTAGTGGCCAAGAACAGAGATTGAATGTCATAGGAACTGAAAGCCTGTTTGGCCTTATGAATTCTTAAAGTCCCTGGGACAATCCCATGAGACCAGGCTCAGGTGTTGTTGGGGAGGGCAAGTGGTGAGCAGTTTTCACTGCAAAGTTTGCTTAGCATTGCCTGACTCCTTGGTTGAGAGGGGGTGGCTAGGCCTTCTGCAGCTTCCCACTTCTACGGGTTCCACTTTGTGGGTTCCACTTTGCCATTTCTGAAATGGGCCCTGGCCTGGCCTCCCTGCAGAGGTGCCTGAGTTCCAGTTCCTAATTGGAGATAATGCAACAACACAGCTGAAGCAGAGTCTGAGCCAGAACCCCCAGGCCATGGCCTCTGCTCTGCAGAGTTGTTTCTCCCACCTAATGAAGAATGAGAAGAAGGTGGTGGTGGAACAGCTCAACCTCCTGGTGAAGCGGATCTCCCAGCAAGGTGGGTATCATTTTTGGCCTGGGACAATATCCTGTCTTGGGCCCTGACAGACACTAGGCAGTGGGGACAAAGCTCTCAACCCCTGTGGCTCAAGTGCAACACTAAAACAGATCTGACTTAGGATTGTTGATGACAGTATTTCTTAGTCTTTGTGAAGCAGGTCCCTGGTTTGAATGATGCTTCCTAATGGCCATCTTCTCTAGATGGCTGGAGACATACTGGCCTGGAAGACAGTTAGGATGCTTTTGACCCAGGCATTGAGGCATTGAGATTTTCCACCAGGCCTAAAGCTGCCCCCATTGGATGGATTTGTACTTTGGGGTTAGACAGCAGGAAGACGAAAGGGGATCCTCCCTCTCCACTAGTCTGATGCCCAGAGCTCTCAGTCAGTAGATCTTAACTTAAATACCTGCTTTGTACCCAACCTTGTGCTGGGTTCAGAAAATGACAGTGGTAGGTGTGGTCACCTGTGGTTTGGAGAATCAATAGTGAAAAACAAGGCAGAATGGACTCTAAGCTATGAACTTACATGGTATACACGAGGAGGTCCCAGTTCCAGGTGACTCTGGAACTCTTCTGGTCTCTACACATTTCTTCTGCTAGCTTTGAGCCACAAGGAACCATCCTACACAGGCCTACCCTATATTTTGTGTTTTTTGGTGTTTTATCCGCTTGCATGCCTGTCCATTTAGGGATTCTTGCACTCACAGCAGAACTGATGCCTGTAAATCTATATGATGTGAACACACAGGCCATGGATCTGTCTCCTTGACTTTTTCTTTAATGTGCCTTCCCTATTTTTAAAAAGCTTTTATTTACTTACTTTTACAGAGGGGAAGGGAGGGAGGAAGAGAGAGGGGGGGAACATCAGTGTGTGGTTGCCTCTCACCCATCACTGGGAACCTGGCCTGCAATCCAGGCATGTGCCCTGATTGGAAATTGAACTGGCAACCCTTTGGTTCAATCCACTGAGCCACACCAGCCAGAACTTGACTTTTTTGTGTCCCCAATGCACAGTAGGCATTCAGCTGTCTGTATGAACTCAGAACCACTCTCTAATCCAGACCAGCTGGTTTCTTCATTGTGGAACTGACCCTTTTTCTTACAAATAATCTCCTCCAATGAATTCAAGACATCTCAGTTCCCCCTTGCCCACTCCCTGCCCATTTCCAAGAAGCCTTCTACCATCACTCTAGCCCTAGTTGAGCTCACCCTCTCCTGGTCAGTCTTTGAAGACACCTTTTGTCCCTTGGCACATTTTTCCTCATGCTATCTGTGTGACCAGCCTTCCGAGTTAGCCTGGGACTGAATTATTTTCTGAGATGCAGTACTTTCAGTGCTAAGAAAGGGAAAGGCAAGGGCTGGGGTACATGGAACTCTTATTGGATTATCTCTTAACCCAATTTTGAGCTCCTAGAGCAGTGGTTCTCAACTAGGGGACATTGGCAATTGTCTAGAGACACTTTTGGTTGTCAAAACCTGGGTTGGGGTGCTAGTGGTATCTTGTGGATAAAAGTACTAAAAATCCTACAATGCACAGGATAGCCCCTACAACAAAGAATTACCTGGGCCAGAATGCCAATAATGCTGAAATTGGGCAACACAGTCCTGAAAAAACAAAATGCTCTAGCTCTTTTAATGTCTAATGTAGGGCTGGACATGTAGATGGTCAAAATGAGAAAAATGGTATCTGGGCAGGCTGGAATATCAAGGAAAACTGGTCTCTAAGAGGCTGGGCATATGGCTGGGAGAACATGCCCACCAGGGTTGAGATTCCTGTGGTCAGGGGCTTCCCCAGGACTCCCTGGCTGAGGTGGGGTTGTGTATACCAGTGAATATTCCTAAGTGACCTTGGGGTGCTCTGTGACCCTCAGTGGCTGCTGGGAACAATGTGGAAGATATCTGTGGGGAGCTTTTGCTGCAGCTGCACCAGCAGTATCCAGGTGATATCGGATGCTTTGCCATCTACTTCCTGAACCTGCTTATCCTGAAGCCGGGGGAAGCCATGTTTCTGGAGGCCAATGTACCCCATGCCTACCTGAAAGGAGGTGAGCCACATTTCAGCAGGAAGCCCTATTGCATCCCTTTTGGGCTGTTTCCCCATCTAGACAAATGGGGAGAGGGTGGGCGAGGAGACATCCAGCTCTCACCTCCTGGGGCTCCAGGAGTCAGCACAGAAGCAGCCAGTGGAGACGATGAATGCCAGGCTGATATCACACACTGCTTGAATCTTCACACTAACTCCACAAGGTCATGATACTGTCATGTTAAACCCTGTTGATGTGTGGGAACCACAATTTGAGCCTAGGCTATAACTGGATCGAGGCTGCTCTCTCTGCACTCATCAGATGGCTCAGTTGAGAACATCTTCCTGATGCACCAACCTTCAGGTTTGATCCTTGGTCAGGGCACACACAGGAATCAACCAGTGAATGAATCAATAAGTGAAACAAATTAATGTTTCTTTCTCTAAAAATCATTAAATTAAAAAAGAGAATGGCAGCTCTTCTCCCTCCTGCATCACACTGCCTTTACTGTTCTGTCAACCCAAAGATTTCACATTAAAGTACATGTGGCCACAGAAAGGTGCTGCATTTTGACCACTGACTATCCATTTATGGACAGGATTTTGTGGAAGAATTAGAGTCTTAGAAGGGTTGGGGCTCCCCCAAGGGTGAACATGACTACCCCTGACAATAGTGGGTGACCTGTCCTATGTTTTTGGCATCTGGTATTTTAGCTCATTCTCCCAGAGAATGCAATTCTAACTGCAGAGGGTTTGTGGTGCTCAAGTTAGGACCAGCCTCGGACAGCCTAACTCCAAGGCATTCTTCTTTAACAAGTGACAATTCTCTACCCCCCAGATTGTGTGGAATGCATGGCGTGTTCAGATAACACAGTACGCGCTGGCCTGACACCCAAGTTTATTGATGTGCCAACTCTGTGTGATATGCTCAGCTATACCCCCAGCCCCAGCAAGGACAGGCTCTTTACTCCAACACGGAGTCGGGAAGACCCCTACCTCTCTCTCTATAACCCCCCTGTACCAGACTTCACGGTTATGAAGATAGAGGTAAGTAGGAGTCCATGGTGGGTCTTCTGTGGGGCATGAAAAACTCTTGCAAGGGCCACAATGTGTACTTTACTTAGGCCTGTGTCTCTTTTCTGTGAAGCTCATTTGGTGAGAGGTGGTCACAGGACCGGCCCACTCCTCCCTGTACCTGGCACTAGATGTACACATCCATGCCTAAGAGCCCGAGATGTGGGGAGAGGGCAAGCAGAGTGCTCCCTCTCACTGCCCTTGCTGTTCTATGCCTGTGAGCTGTAGGAGCAGAGTCTAAGCTGCACCATTTTTGTTTGTCTGTTTCTTCCTGCCCAGGTCCCAGGCTCGGTCACTGAGTACAAGGTCTTGGCAGTGGACTCCGCCAGCATCCTCCTAATGGTGCAGGGTACAGTGACAGCCAGCACCCCCACAGCCCAGGCAGTAATCCCCCTGCAGCGTGGCGGCGTACTCTTCATTGGGGCCAATGAGAGTGTCTCACTGAAGCTCACTGTGCCTGAGGACCTGCTGATATTCCGTGCCTGCTGTCTGCTGTAGAGGCCATAGCCATTCTGGCTCTCCTTCCTAGTCACCCTAAATCCTGGCTAGTCCCACCTCCTTAGGCCCAGCCCAAACTCCTTCCCTGCTCTAAACTCAGAGATAGTGGCTCCTGAGCAGGCCTAGGCTGAACCATCTTCCTGGGAGGAAGGACTTATGTGAGGACTAAGGGCCAACACTCCACTTGAATTCTCCCTGTACCTGAGCCACACTCAATGCAGGAGAGCAGCTGTTTTCACTATAGTATTAGGCTGGTGAAATCTATGAGTAGCTCAGCATCGGTTACAGCAAAAGGGTAGGTAACCAATTTCTTTATTGATTTTAGAAACATTGATTTGTTGTTCCACTCATTTATGCATTTAGTGGTTGGTTCTTGTATCCTGACCAGTGATCAAAACTGCAACTTTGGTATATCAGGATAGTGCTCTATTCAACTGATACCTGGCCAGGACCTTAGGTAACTAATTTCTAATAGAGTTCTCACCTTGGGACTGCCCATTTCCTCAGCAGCTGAGAAGTGAAAGGGTAGGCATGTGGTCCCGTGTTGCTCCTCATCACCCCCTTGCTTTGTGAAAGCAGTTGAAGATCACCTGTGTTGAGGCTGTGGGGTAAGACGCACTGAGCCTTTGGCAGTCCAGTCCCTGAAATGGGTAGGCCAAACTCAAGAGCCTTTTATAGGAAGGTCTAAGGTTCTGATCAGAATCTTCAGTGGCAAAAGAGCTGTGTAACCTCCTGAAGTATGTCCCACCTCTGTCTGAGAGGGTATGCTCAGGGAGAGTTTGGGTTCTCCTAGGTACTACTGCCAGTTTAGAGAAGTTGCCCTTCACAAGGTGAACTGGACTGTCCTAGCTAAAGCTTCAGCCTCAGATGTAGAGAGCTTGCAGGCAGGTCTCAGGCCTTCCAGCCCTGCAGAGTGGAAAGTGGGTCTAAAGAGCAAGATCCTTCTCCAGGTTTAAAACTGGCCGTTGGGCAGGGATCAGCACATAAGGCCAGAGGGCTGGGTTTAGCCACACGTACTATTTACACACTGCCTTGCTGCTCTCAGGTTACAAAGCTGAGTAGATGTGCCCAACTCTACTGCCTGACTGGCCCTTCACAGAGAAAGTTGGTCAGCAACTTCTCTGGAACGTATTCAGTCATTGTAGATACAGGGACAGGACAATCTAACTCACCTTGTGAATGGCAACTTCTAAACTGGCAGAAAGTACCTAGGAGAACAAATACTGTTCCTGAGCATACCCAGAGGTGGGACACACTCCTTCTGGAGGTCACACAGCTGTTTTGCCACTTAAGATTCTGACCAACAGTCTTAGATCTTATCACCCCAGACTCAGCAGAGACCCAGGCTATTGGTTCCTTCCTGGAGGCTAAGGGTTTAGATTCTCATAGAACTGAATTCTAAGCAACTACATTCGAAAAAAGTTCTGGACAATCTATTCTGGGGTTTTTTGGCCCCCAAATTTCCTCAGCTAAAAAAAAATTACTTAGGAAGAGAGGGTCTGCTAAGGGGAGCTCATTCTAAAGAGAAATGATGTGCAAAGACTGATTCCATCTATGGCCTCTAGTGAAGCAGGCCTAAAAATGATGCCCATTGAAAACAGCAAAAAGGAGAGGAGATCCTACAATGAATGGTCATAGTGGGGGCTATCAGGCTATTTCTTCACTTCAGAATTCAGAAGGGGACAACTTGGGCCTTAAAAATTCTATTAAAACAGAGACCGCTCAACCAGCATGACTGTATTTACTATAAACTCACAGAGCTGTGGAACTTTAAGCCAGGGGTTCTGTAGAGTACTCTGTAAATACCGTCCAGTACCACCCCCACCTGTGAGGTGAGACTGAATACACCCCTCCCCCTGAGGCACTGTCACCTACAGCACCTGAGGCACTCTCAATGAAGGCAGGTTGGCTCTGGGCACGTTGGTGCCTTCTGGTGACATTTTGGTCTGTGGTCCCAAACTGACCATTTATATCTTGCCTCACTGCACACTGTCCCTCATTTCAGGTTCCTGTAGCCTCCCACTCAGGGTCAACCAGCTCTGGAAGACCATCTCAGACAGTTGCAGCCAAGTACCCTAGTGTTGACAGACTACACGAATCACGGGGGGGTGGGGGGGGGGGACCTTGGTCTTGTGATCCTGTTGCTGCCCTTACCCCAGCAGCTGCTAAATGCTTAGGCTGCTCTGTCTACTGTGCTAACCAAATGCCCCACACTGAGCTGTCACAGCACTTTCTGGCCCCCACTGGGTTTCCCATTAACCACTGTTTTCCTTTACAAGTCCTACATCTGAGACTTTTGTATATATTTCTCTACTCCTGCAGAAACCAGAAAGGCCTGGATATAGCTTCTGTGGGTGGGCAAGGGGTTCAGAATGGAGATGTCTTCAGTCCCTGCAAACTTTTGCACATACTGCTCAGAATGTGGGGAACCTGTGTGGAGTTAGAGCCTCACTCCAGAATAGAGTATATGCTTCCCCCATCCCAGACCCCATGAGGTGCCTCTGGTCCCTGTACCATCTCCCTCCTGCCATGACACTGCTAAACTGGAGAATAAAAGTTAGCTACAGCTCCATGGACACCGTATTTTTCCCAGCTTTCTAAAATTTGATAAAAGTACCAAGATAGATGCCAATCAAGCACTAATAGGATTACCCTCACAAGGGTAGTCATAGCTGACATATATGGCCTTTTTATCTGACATTCTCTTTCAATCAGCTCGTAGTAGTAGAGCAAGAAAGTCCATGCCATCCCTCATTTACCCCTAGCAGTCATAGGACATCAAATGTCCCATGTGGGGCCCACAATCCAATCCTCACTACCACGTCCCTTCGGCTGGGAACCTTACCTCACCACAGTTTCGGGTAAGGCAAAACAAACTGAAACACTGTAAACCTAAATTCTAGGGAGAGGTGTGGTCTAGCAAGAGTAGGGGTCATGGGGGAGTGGGGTTCATCTTTGCTGTGTTCACATGGAGTTGAGAGAGGTTATGTTGCACCCAGAGGTTTACTGTAAAATGTCCAATCCTGAGTATCCACTGTGTGGCACATGCTGTGACCTCAGGAATCTGGAGAGCTTGACACAATAGGATAGTCCCTATTGGGGTGAAGGGAGGCCCTCTGCAATGGCAGATTATCTCCATTACCTTGGGACCTGACACAGGTCTCTACTCCTCATCCTGTGAGCTTCCGTCTAGTCAGCCCAGGGCTGGTATACTTCTCACCCTTTGCTACTTATCCAGTTTAAAAAGTTAATTGGAAGGCACCTGAATGCTCCCTGCAGATATCTCTGCTGGTAACCAAAATCTGCAGACAGGCTTCTGGGACCAACATTCAACTCAAAGACTGGACAGAAAAACTAGCAAAAACCAAAGCAAAGAATAGCAACCAAGTTAAGTCATATAAATATGTACATAGTGGAGCAGTTTTTCTCTAACTAGGGCTTACCAGAGTCACGAAACCTATACAGACAACTGGACCATTTGGGGATGCTCTGGGTCCAGGTATTCTGGAATCCTTCATCCTACTATGGCATCAAGCAAGCTGCTTTCCTCCCTGCAATAGTCAGGACCAACCAGAAGAGGGCCAAAGGGCTCTGCTTTATGCTGTTTTGAAGGGCAAACATCTTGGAGTTGGGAAGAGGAGGAGAGCTTAAGGAATTTCTTTAACTGGTCCCATACAGTTAAAATTTTTCCCCCAAAGATTTCCAGTTGCAAGTCACAAAGTGCTATTTTCTGCCTCCACATAACACCATCATGGACAACCTGGAAAAAAAAGCTCTTTTTTCCTCTGAAGAGTATGACTATAAATACCAGTCAAAGATGTCTTCAGGAGTTTTTCTTAGCCAACTTAATCCCTTACTGTAAGAGCCAGAATTCCTATATTCCTGCCCTTAATAAAGTGTTCTCTGTTCTCACCAAACTCTGCTCCAATAACAGAGGAAAACTACAGAATTCCACATACCACCCTTTCACCCAGATGGGGGCCTCTGGCGTGAGTAGCACCAGGTAAGGGGCAACTACAGGCCACTGACTTCCAAGGTCTGTACCTCAAGTGATTCTGGGGCTGACAGTAGTTCTGCTGTACTCTGTGACCTATGAAGAACAGAAAAGGGCTCTGCAGGCATGGCAAGCAGGGCCCATTTTAGGGGGTTATGTCTACTGAAGGGTACAAGAGAAAGAGTCCCCAAGACAGCACCAGGAGCAGGAGCACGTTGAGGAGGCCATAGGCTTGGGGGGAATGAGGTCCAAGTCCTCATCATCTGGAATCTCATCCAGGTGATACCCATCCTGGAGCAGCTGGCGGCTCACATCCTGGTTCACCTGCTAAGAGCAGGAAAGAAAATTATAAGCCAGGCTGCAAAGCAGAAATACATGCTGCCCAAAATGCGGGCCCACATTCCCTTACCAGAGCTTTCTGTCAATGCTCCACCCTCAGGTCAATCCCACACATTCCTGGACTACAGGTGGAAGTGCCAGCTTTTCCTGGCACTTCCAGGAAAAGTGCCCCGGCCTGTTTCCTACCTTTGAGGGGCACCCAGGGGTCTGACCCAGTACTGTCCAGGCTGCTTGTTACGAACCTCTGAAGGAGCTGCTTTCATTAAAGAGTACTAAGGAATCTGATGTAAATACCAGATCTAGACTATGTTCGAAAATCAATGCTCTGACCACTCCCACTGGTAACCCAGACATGCCCATGAAGGCTGAAGAATATGGGACAATAACAATATGATGTAGTAGAACAGTAAAGGAATATAAATTACAGAACAGGGTGGATAACAGCTGTGTCTGCAGTGCTGGTGAGACGTACTGTCCTCTGATGCCAGCAGAGCTTGTTTCCTGCAAACAAGTCTGTCAGCCTGGCTTTACCAGGTCTGCTGAACAGAAGGAAAGTCAGACTGGGAAAGGTGTAAGACTTACTCTAGCTCCTGGCTAATTTTTATTTTCTTAGTTTTAACAGTCTTAAGCACCTAGATATTCAAGAAGGCTAACATTTACAAACTGCCTCTACTGTCTTTGATAGAAACTTGAGGGTAGCCGACGGTTTCTAGGAGAATAAGGAATACCACTGGTGCACAGTCATGTCACCAGCACTTCACTTCTGTCAAAGGCAGAAGCTGCACATGCCAGAACTTTACGTCTCGTTTCCGTCTGGACAGTCACTCTGGAAATACGTCCAGAAGGCCAGCCCAAGAATATCTCAATCTGAGTTCCCATAGATGGAGCAGTTGTTTGACGTAGAAGAAAGCAAGCTTGGTGGAGATGACCAGAGGAGGGAGAAATGCTGATATCAGATAAAATGTAATCAGAAGAAGGGAGACTAGAAGTACTGTGTTACACCGGCGGGTAGGCCTCGGACCACTGAGTTCAGGCTGCAGAAGACATTTCAAATTAATATGGAAGACTTAGCTCTAAGAGCTATCTAAAGGAGGAATTGTGCCTATATCTTAAGGGGGGGGGACAGGCAGCAAGGTTTCTTAAAGATATTGAGTACCTGATTATAAGAAGCAACCAAGCAAACAGAGGTTAGTAAACTCTTAACTAGGATTTATCCAGAGAATTCCTTTTCTTAGTGGTGCCCTGTACTGAGACTTGTGAGACCATTTCCAACCCTACGGGTCTACGGTTTCCTGGATTTTCAAGAGCCCTCCTCAGACACCTATACCTCTGCTGTGGGAAGAGGGCAGAGTACAAGACTGGAGAACCAACCGGAAGTCGGGTACAGTGCTGTGCATACAGCAGGCACTACAAAGCATTTGGCAGTGGTGGTGACACTGCCTGATGCATGGCCCCGCGCAGGAAGGCATTCTGGACTTGCCTCTGCAGAGGAATACCCGGAAGAGTATCTGGATTCCAGCTCCCCATCACTAGAAGAGGAAGACAGTCAATTCAGGAGGATGCCTGTGGAGTACAGCTGCAAATGGCAAGGTGGAAAGCATGCAAGGGAGTCCATAGGACTTATGATTCCCCCAGACAAGGCCGATACTCCAAATCCGAGAGCAGTATGAGTCCTCTAAGTCCTCTAAGCAAGCCATCTTGGGAAGGGATAGTGCTCCAAAGAAGACAGCTCTGCAACATGCATGAAGCGTCTTGGAAGAGAGAGGGAACTAGGGAAGGCACCAAGCGATCTATAGTTTTACTCAAGCCACTCCTCAAGGGGTATTATTACCAAGGAGAGCACTCACCTGTCAGAGTTGAAGGACACCAGGTTTTCATCAGGACTCTGACTAAGAGCAGTATAGCCCTTGTTAAACTTCACTAACCTGAGGGAAGATGGGGGAAAGACATGAAAGCATAGATAAAGCACCAACATTTACAGGGAAAGCCAGAATCCATTCCCATGTGGAAAAAGAACTGATTGTACTACTCCTGACTTCTACTTGACCACACAGCCACCACTAAGCATGCATCTGGCTACAGCTCCTCGGCATATGCACTTCCCCCTACTGCTCCTGAAGAAAAGCCAAACTTTCATCAGGAAACTTCACCACCACCCACTGTACTTAACTAGAGAACAGGAAAACCACAAGTCCTCATACAAATCCCTTCACCTGAGTTTCAGCTCTATCTGTAAGAGGTACTGGATAAGATCCAATCCAACTCTCAAGAGTTTACCACTCTGTTCTAAAAATATATATTCAATATTCGCTCTTCCCACACTCTCTGCAACTTTACTTCTGGAGACCCAGCCATTATGCTCCTCCCTAACTTTGTGGATGATCCTGTGCCCTGACAAAACTCATTCCAAAGTCCTTGCCCTGACACCATCACGTTATTAAAAGGGGGCGAGGGGAAAAGGTCATTAGTCTTCATATTTCAAAATAGTGAACCTGACTGGTTGGCGTCAAGGGAATAGGGATTCCCCTTATTAAAGCTGGGCCTTAAAAGTGAGTTCCCTGTCTCCCAGCCAGAAGACTAAGGCTTTCGCAGGAAACTGCTTGCACAAAGGAGGTGGCGCCGACTGACACCTTTTCCCTGAAGAGTCGGGGCGGTTCGGCGAGGCCCCCAGCATGCCTTTTCTCCGCAGAACTGACTTGGCCAGGTCCCGGTGCTTCTCTGCAAGTCAAAGGGCCCGAGTAAGCGGTGTCTTCCCCACTCCGCCATGCCTCCCAAACGCGAGAAACCCGCTCTTATGGAAGAGATTTTCAAGGACGGTAGCTGGCTGCAGGTGCCTCTCCCGGGTCGCCCCAGCGGGACTCAGGAGCCCGCACAGGTAGACAACCCATCCGGCCGCACTCACGCAGTTTGGCCTGAATGGAAGGCATACGCATCACCATGTACGGCCCCCGTTTCTCCACAGCCGCCTGGGTCCGTTCCCCCAGCCAGGCGACTCCGGGGCCCCTTCGTCCGGAGAACGGCCCTGCAGCTCGTGCCACGTGTCCTGGGACACCGCCGGGCGGAGGTCCAGGGGTAGAAGCAGGAGGCGCAGGCCAGCCGGTCTCCTTGGTAGCCATCGCCTGGCCCCGCCCCGCCTAGTGGCTAACGAGCTGCAGTCCGGAAGGCAGGTGGTCTCGAATTTACCAAGATGGCGGTGCGCAGGCGCAGGCTGTACACATGGAACTTCCGGCCCCGCCTACTGAGAGTGTGGCCTAGTTGTTCCTCCTTTTCCGGGGTTGGGCAGATGCAGCCACTCCTTCCTGGCGTTCCGCAGTACCTGGAGTCGGTCAGGACCAAGGACTACCGAGGCCAGCTGTCTCTAGCATGCTGATATTTATGGAGGGTCGCGAGTGTGCCCCGCAGTGTATTGCGGATCCTATCACTGCAGCCGGAGGTTCCCAAGGCGGACATGGGAGAGCCTGGGTTGAACCGAAAAGAACTGTATGAGAGAGGGCAGTATTAGCGCTCTTCTCCAGAAAAGGAAATGGGCCCAAGAGAGAGGTTCAAGGACTTTGCAGAGGTCACGTAACTAAAGACAGAAACTGAGCTGATCGAACTAACGCCAAAACCACCTTACAGGTGTAACAACCAGCTTCATTAGGAGATCAAGATTAAATATTAAGTTGAACCATATTTAAGTTGGACGCGGTGTTGAGGCCAGCCCTTCTGTCGGCCTCACTTTCCACATTTTAAAACGGAACCAACGTCTCTACTCGTACAGCGAGCAACAGATAAGGGTAAATAGGACGTAGAAAGAAGGGTGAAAGTGCGCGCTGAGTCTGTGTGATAGTAGGGTATGGAGCTGTCATGGCTCATGACATTGGCTCATGACATCTCGGGCCCCCAAGGAATGTGATTGTAGTTGGCTGGAAAGAAGGTCCAGATCCTTGGAGGAACTGCCATATCTCGTGAGGCCGTTCGGGGTCTATTGCAAATTTAGAAAAAAACTATCTTTGGAGAGAGGGGAAGGGAGGAAGGAAGAAACAAACAGCAATATGTGAGAGAGTGATTGGTTGCTCTCGCATGCCGGCAACAGGGGACCTGGCTCAAAACCCAGGTATGTGACAGAGAATGAAACTGGCAACCCATGGGTTTGCGTGAGGACACCCGACCCTCTGAGCCACACCAGTCAAGTTGACTAATGCAACTTCTGAGCCCATCCACAGGGCCACACAAACACTTAGACTGTGCCTTACACGGCGTAAGAGAAAATTTACAGCTGGAGTCGTTTTTGTTTTTCGATTTAAATTGCAGGCTCAAAGGAATGCTATTTTGTTAGATTCCACCTCTGTTTTAATCTCCAGAAACAGTGGCTCAACTTAATATTTAATCTTGACCTTCCAATGAAACTGGTTGTTACTCTTGTTATGCAATGAGGCTTAGACTTGGTCAACTTCACTAAGTTAAAGCAAAATTCACTAGGTAACTGGTAAACCTCGAAATTGAATTCAGCTCCCTGTGGAATACAAAGAAATGGTTTTTCTCATGGCTACACTATTTGTTAAACTGATGAGGACCTCGCCAAAGACCAAGGAAAATGTGATAAAAATCCACTTGCCACTCTATTTGCAGGAACTTGTAAAAAAAAAAGAGTCTGAGTGCCCTCCATGCTCCTGAATCTTTCATTGTTGTTGCTTCATTGCTATGTGATTGAATGTGGACCCTAAATCCAGACTGTTTGCTCTACCAATACTGACATTATTTAACCTCATGTCTTAGTTTCTTTTTTAATATATTTTATTGATTATGCTATTACAGTTGTCCCATTTTCCCCCCTTCATTTCCCTCCACCCTGCACACCCTCTCCCACCCACATTACCCACCTTTAGTTCATGTTCACGTGTCATAAGTTCTTTAGCTTCTACATTACCCATACTATTCTTGCCCTCCCCCTGTCTATTTTCTGCCTACCATCTATGCTACTTATTCTCTGTAACTTCTCCCCCTCTCTCCTCCTCCCACTCCCCTGTTGCTAACCCTCCATGTGATCTCCATTTCTGTGATTCTGTTCCTGTTCTAGTTGTTTGCTTAGTTTGTTTTTGCTTTAAGTGTGGTTAATAATTGTGAGTTTGTTGTCATTTTACTATACATATTTTTTATCTGCTTTTTCTTAGATAAGTACCTTTCATATAATAAGGGCTTGGTGATGATGAACTCCTTTAACTTGACCTTATCTGAGAAGCACTTTATCTGCCCTTCCATTCTAAATGAAAGCTTTGATGGATAGAGTAATCTTGGATGTAGGTCCTTGCCTTTCATGACTTGGAATACTTCTTTCCAGCCCCTTCTTGCCTGCAAGGTCTCTTTTGAGAAATCAGCTGACAGTCTGATGTGGAACTCCTTTGTAGGTGACTGTCTCCTTTTCTCTTGCTGCTTCTAGGATTCCCTCCTTCATTTTAATCTTGGCTAATTATGATGTACCTTGGTATGTTCCTCCTTGGGTCCACCTTCTTTGGGACTCTCTAAGCTTTCTGGACTTGCTGGAAGTCTATTTCCTTTGCCAGATTGAGGAAGTTTTACTTTATTATTTGTTCAAATAAGTTTTCCACTGGTTGCTCTTTCTCTTCCCCTTCTGGTACCCCTATAATTCGGATGTTGGAACATTTAAAGATGTCCTGAAGATTCCCAAGCCTCTCCTCATTCTTTTGAATTCTTGTTTCTTCATTCTTTTCTGTTTGGTTGTTTCTTCCTTCTGATCCACTTAATTGATTTAAGTGCCAGTTTTTTTTCCATCACTATTGGTTCCCTGTGCATTTTCCTTCATTTCACTTAGTGTAGCCTTCATTTTTAATCTAATTTGTGACCAAGATCAACCAATTCTGTGAGCATCCTGATCACCAGGGCTTTGAACTGTGCATCTGATAGGTTGGCTATCTCTTCATCACTTAGTTGTATTGGCTCTGGAGCTTTGATCTGTTCTTCTGTTTGGGCTTTTTTTTTTTTTGTCCTGACACGCCTATTAGTATGAGGGGTGGAGCCTTAGATGTTCACCAGGGCAGGGCAACCCAGTGGCTGGGTTGTGATGCTGTATGTGGGGCAGGGGTCCAAGAGGGAACAATGGCATTTGCTCTGTTCTCTGTTGGACTTCAGTACCTTCCTCTGCCTCCCCCAAGCAAATCGGGCCCTTCTGGTGCTGATTCCTGGGTGTGTGGGTTTGTGTACATTCTAAAGATAAAGAAATAAAATCTTTAAAAAATATAATCCCTCTGGTCTCTCCTTTCAGAGTTCTAGGCCTATTCTGTCCATTAATGCCTGAGATTTAACAGGACCAGTCAAATGCTGTACCTTCTGCACTGTGCACCAAGCACCTCTTTCTTGCTAACTTATTTTCCTATGAGTGGCACCATCACTCAAATTTGTAAAGCAGGTCTTCCAAGAGTTCTTATTCAGCCTCACCACATTAGTTAACTACACCTCAAGATTGTGAACTCTCCCTGGCCAAGTTGGTTAGAGCTTAGTCCCATCATCCTGATGCCCCATAGTTGTGGGTTTGATTCCCAGCCAGGAAACATACAAGAAGCAACCAATGAATGCATAAATAAGTGGAACAACAAAATGATTTTTGCATGGTTTCATTTATTTTTTTATCTTTAGAGAGAAGAGAGGGAGGGAGGGAGAAAAACATCTATGTGAAAGAGAAACATTGATCAGTTGCCTCTCATAGGCATTCCAATCAGGACCAAGCCTATAAGCCAGGCATGTGCCCTGACCAGGAATCAAACTGGCAAACTTTCACTTGGTGGGCTGACACCCAACCAACTGAACCCCCCCCCAGATGGGGCACAAATTGATATTTCTTTCTCTCTCACCCCTAGCCACTGTCCCCCTCTCTCTGACATCAATCAATAAATTTAATTTTTTTGTTAAGAAAAAAGAATGAGACTATCAAAATTAATCTCTTCCCATTTCTACTGCTACTGCCCTCATTCAAAATCCTCATTAAGTTATAACTATGCTGCTATACAGCATAGTTGTATTATGCCCTTACCTCCGGTTTCTCCCAGCTCCAATTCTGTCTCCTGTTCACTGCTCTACCTTTAGCACCTGACACAATAGTTAGTATATAGTACCTGTTCAGCAAATGTTTGTGGCATAAAGACCATCAACACTTATTTCACCCTTGTAGATAGTTGTGAACCTATGTTCCTTCCTCAGGCTCCTTCTATAATCCTCAGGGCAGAAACCATTTTAATCATTTTGCCTTCCTCCTATATGTGAAGAGCCCATGATTAGTGACATGGTCCTTTTCAGCTAGTTATAGTAAATCCTTTAGATTTTGGTGATTAAAGAAGCAGATTTAAATGTGATTATATATCCACATATCAGAACTCTCAACAAAAATTCCTCCTACCTACTCCAGTGGTGTAAAAGCTAAACAGGTGACACAGTAATTATAATGATCTTTTAGCCCTGGCTGGTGTGGCTCAGTGGGTTGAATGTCAGTCTGTGAACTAAAAGGTCACTGGTTCAATTCCTATTCAGAGCATATGCCTGGGTTATGGGCCAGGTCTCTAGTTGAGGACAGATAAGAGGCAACCAGTTGATGTATCTCTCACACACCAGTGTCTCTCTCCCTCTTTCTCCTTCCCCACTCTAAAAATAAATGAATAAAATCTTTAAAAAAAATAAAACATAAATAAAATTATCTTTTAGAGGCTGCCCCTGCAGCTGCTCTCAGGGAAGTACAGGCAGCCAGTGGAACCAGGAAGTGTCAGTAGCCCTACCCCAACCACCAGTATCTGCTCCACAGGAGTCCCTGGAGTTTGAAAGTTCAAAGTCAGTTGTGGCCATGGCAGATACACTAGTGGAGCCTGCCCCTTGAAGCCAACTTCTGAGCCCATTCCTGGCCCATCAAGGGTAATGGGGGCTCCTTGCTAAGTGACATCATGAAGGGAGTTGGAGACCTATAGGTGACTGACCCTGAGGTGATCCAAAAGTCCTGCTAGGAGGTGCTGAAGAAGGTCAGGCTTTTGCATGGAGGCATGGCTGTCTCCAGCAGAGACACCCCACTGCAGCTGGTCAATGTGGATGGTGTGGACAGTGAGATCTGCTGCCTGAATAACCCATCTGCCCAGATAAGAGAAGAGGAAGAGAGATGGGGGCCACCGTGGCCTCTGGCACAGCCTAGGGAGCAGGAAGGCAGCAGTAGAACAACAGC